CAGACTCCCAGCTCTAAGCCAAACCCGCACTACTCTGACATCAAGAAAACAGCTAGAAGGACAGGGATTCCCCTGGCGGTGGTACTGGTGGTACTTGTGGTACTGGCGGTGATGGTGGTAGGGGGAGTGAGTAATAACATTACTGATTATGTGTTTTACATCTTTTCTAATTTAATCCTTACCATAACTCTATGAGGTCAGTAAGATTATTATCCCCGTTTTAGCGATGAGAAGACTAAAGTTTTGAGAGGTCAAGTAATTTGGTCAGGATCACACAGCTGGTAAATGGCGAAGCCTCTTGAGAAAGGGTTCTTAACTCCCCATGTAAACTGTGTATCAATAAATAGGAGATCATCTGAGGTCATCCTTCATACAAGTAATTTAGAAGCTCAAAGAACGTTGTTCATAAGTTTTATTCTGGGCCTCAATTTGGTGAATCTAATGAAAGCTTAAACAGACATAGTCAGTGTGATGGGAGCTAAATTTAGGCTTAGGATATAATATGATGTTCGGAAATGCAGAAGTAGCCCCCAAAATGAAACGGAACAGAAAAAAGAAGAGTTCATGTAAAAACTGGTGAAATCCAAATGAGGTCTATACTTGAGCTAATAGTATTGTACCGATGCTGAGGTCCTGGTTTAACAAAGACAGTGTTCTACGGTTATGTAAGACAGTATCATTGAGAGGAACCCAAGGAGGATACACTGGAACTCTTTGTACCATTTTGCAACTTCTTGTGAGTCTTAAACTATTTGAGAGGATTTAAAAAAAAAAATTTTAATGAAGTACTGTAGAGGGGGTACCAAAGCACCAGAGCTATTATCCCAATCTCCTCCTGAGATCCTTTGTAACTGTGGCCATGCTGTTGATATTTTCTACATTTTTGTGTTTTGTAAAATGGATTTAAATTAATGTTTCGAGATGTTTTTTAGCATTTTTGCTCTTTTTAGGTTATTGAAGAATGAGGAAAGCTTCTGAGTAGATGAGGCACTATCACAGATAATTGAGTGTTACCATTTCACAAAGACTAACTTTGAGACTTGAGTTCCACAGAACCCTGTGTACCTGTTAAATCACAGTTGCAAAGCTAAAACAGGAGTCCGTGTTAGTTCCACTTGACACAAAGACTAATACGATGTCACTACTAGACCGTGTTCTGGTGGGTTTTTTTTTTTTTTAACTCCAAAAATGCAGCTCACCAATAAAGCAACTTGGTGAAAATGAAATTATCAGGTTCCAAACTATGTCTCCCTTACGATTTGCATAAGAACATTAATCACGTGGTATATATACCTTTAGCTCCTCCCATCTTGACATGCAGAACAAGAACCTATAGTTCTTTAGAGCTGCAACACAAAATCTGAAAGATTAACCAAAACATCTTTCAATAGGAAATCGTATAGGACAGCCTATGGACGTAGGCTATAGGATATATTTAGTCACGATTTCCCCCTTCTCATTTTAACAAGGCTATTAAGATAATAACAGTGAACACTTACGTAGTTCTTAGTACATGCCTGGCACCATTTTTTAAAAGAGCTTTACATGCATTAACTCAGTCCTGAAGACATCCTCTATGAGGTAGATACACTGTCCCCATTCTGTCCTTGAGGACACTGAGGCAGAGAATTTAGGTGTTTGGCCCAATATCACAAAGTTATTAATAGTCAGTGGTAAAACAGAGTGTTAAAGTGAGGCAGTCTGGCTCCAGAGGCCTCTACAGGACACTGCCTCACCATACAATTGCTCAGAAAAAGTGGGCTTCATATATTTCTCCCCTTTAACAGCAACCAAAACTCCTAGTTGAGGCATCTCTAACTTGTCCCTGGTTGACAGAGAAAATGGAGAGAGGGAGTTAGCCCACATTCTGTCCTGGCTACTCATGTCCCCCCACTTTCCCTTTTATCCATGCCCTCCCCCAAACACACACACTAACCCTGAGCTATAACTCCCAAGTTGACAGGCAGATTGACAAGTCTACCCAACACCAAAGCCTGAGCCCTTCATGCTAGTGGTCCACAAATGGAGTGACCATGTATTAAGATGACCTGGGACGTTCCCAGTATTATGGTTGAAAGCTTCATGGTAACGGATCCCTCATAGTTCTGGGCAAACCAGGACAGTTGGTCACTCTGTGCTCTAGAACCACTCAGGAGGCTGGTAAAAAGCTGTGATGCCTGAGGCAGCCCCCCACCCTTGCACCCTGGCCCCCAAGGCAATTATATCAGACTCTCTGGGGGGTGAAGGGGCAGACACTGTATTTTTTTAATGGCTCCCTGGGAGTTTCCAGTGTGTGTCCTGGGTCGATATGAGCTGTGGGATGATACTAAGCACGAGCTGGAACCTCCGAGGCTCTTGGGATTCCTGATCAACATTTCCCAGATCTTTTAGCTCAACCCTCATGGGCTGCTATAACACAGGGTCTCAGTCCTGATTGTCCACTAGGATCTCCTGGGGAGCCTTTAATTACTAGTAATTTGGGAATATAAAATGGTACAGCTGCTTTGGGAAAACAGTTCCGCAGTTTCTTAGAAACTTAAACATACACCTCCCATGTGAACCAGTCATCCCACTCCTTGATACATTTAACTTAAGAGAAATGAAATCCTATGTGCACACAAAGATCTGTACATGAATAGTCATAGCAGCCTTATTTGTAATAGCTCCAAACTGAAAGCAACCCAAATGTCCATCCACGGGTAAAGAGAGAAACAAATTGTGATATATGCATACTGTGGAATCTTACTCAGCAATAAAAAGGAATGAAATATTGATACATGCAACAACATAGGCGAATCCCTCAAAATAATTATGCTGAGTGAAAAACACCAGACCAAAAAAAAATTTTATATATATATATATATATATATATATATACTGTATGGTTCTATTTATATAAAATTCTAGAAAATGTAATCTACAGTTACAGATTACAGATTGCAGGTTTGTGATGCCTGGCAGTGGGGGTGGGGCAGGGTTAAGAAGGGGTGAGAGGAAGGAACCAGAAAGGGACACAAGGAAACCTTGGGGGATGATAGATACATTCTTTATCTTGATGACAATGATTTCACGTATATGTACATACTTCAAAGCTTATCCAAGGGCTTCCCTGGTGGCTCAGTGGTTAAGAATCCGCCTGCCAATGCAGGGGACGTGGGTTCGAGCCCTGGTCCGGGAAGATCCCACATGCCAGGGAGCAACTAAGCCCATGTGCCACAACTACTGAGCCTGCGCTCCAGAGCCTGCGAGCCACAACTACTGAAGCCCACGTGCCTAGAGCCCGTGCTCCACAACGAGAGGCCACTACAATGAGAAGCCTGCCCACTGCAAGGAAGAGTAGCCCCGGCTCGCCGCAACTAGAGAAAGACCGCGCTCAGCAACGAAGACCCAACACAGCCAAAAAACAAAAAAACAAACAAAAAAACTTATCCAAGAGTATGTCTTAAATATGTGTAGTTTATTATGTTAATTATACCTCAATAAAGCTGTTCAAATCCACAACAACAAAACTACCCGTATTCAGGCCCCATCCCAAAAGATTCAGTCTCCTGGACCTGGAATGGAGCCCAGGCCTCAGTACGTTTTAAGGTACCGTCAGTACTTTCAAAGGTGGTTCAAATGTGCAATCCTGATTGAAAACCACTGCAATGATGCCTACCACCTGCAGTTACTGCCCCAAACCACTAAAAGGATTAGTAATAACAAGGAGATGGAGGACAGAGTCGAAGAAGTGAGGATGATGACGTCGATGGTGATGAGGAATGCAGGCCAAGTTGGCTTATTAAGAGATGGCATTGACAGAGAATAGCTGACTCCACTAGGTGGCATCTGGACACTTCTCTTTAGCACGAGTCCAGGGGAACTGGAGATTCAGGGCCAGAGCTGCCTGAGGTATGTTAAGAGAGGGAGCTCTGAGCAGACAAATGCACCCAGGCTTGTTGAAACAGAAAACAATCAGCAACTTGGGAAGATGTCAGCAGGCCAGGTGTCACTGGAAGTTCTAGTGTCATTTGAGGTTCAAAGAGCAGAGCTATTTTATTCAGGGACTGAGTAACTCCTGGAGAGTAAGTAAATGAAGTTCTCAAGGAGATCAAATGTCTTGAGCTTCATGCACAGAGAAGAAACTCTGTGTCCAGGGCACCAACATGCAGTCCTGAGTAGATTTTTTTAATGTATTAAGTACACCTAAGGTATAAAGAATCATAATCCAGGGCTTCCCTGGTGGCACAGTGGTTAAGAATCGCCTGCTAATGCAGGGGACATGGGTTTGAGCCCTGGTCCGGGAAGATCCCACATGGCGCGGAGCAGTTAAGCTCGTGGGCCACAACTACTGAGCCCGCATGCCACAACTACTGAAGCCTGCACGCCTAGAGCCTGTGCTCCGCAATAAGAGAAGCCACCGCAATGAGAAGCCCGCGCACCACAACGAAGAGAAGCCCCGGCTCGCCGCAACTAGAGAAAGCCCACGAGCAGCAACAAAGACCCAACACAGCCAAAAATAAATTAATTTAAAAAATCATAATCCAGTGAGCACCTGTGTACCCACGACTCAGGTAAAGAAAATCTTATTACCTTTACCCCTGGAGTCCCCAGGATATTCTTCCACAAACCCATTCTCTTTCCTCTCACCTCCAAGGCAAATACTGTGCTGAATTTTGTATCATTCCCTTGCATTTCTTAGTAGATCTCCTACACAGGCTTGAATCTGTAAACAATACATTGCTTCATTCTGTATGTTTTTTAACTTTATATAAGTTGATTCATACAGTATATATTCTTTTTTTTTTTTTTTTTTTTTTGTAGTACGCGGGCCTCTCACTGCTGTGGCCTCTCCCGTTGCAGAGCACAGGCTCCGGACGCGCAGGCACAGCGGCCACAGCTCACGGGCCCAGCCGCTCCGCGGCATGTGGGATCCTCCTGGACCGGGGCACGAACCCGCGTCCCCTGCATCGGGAGGCAGACTCCCAACCACTGCGCCACCAGGGAAGCCCAGTATATATTCTTGAGACAATATTATGTTTTTGAGAGTCACCCATATTGTTGCAAGTAGCTACAATCTATGGTTGCAAAGCTTTATATTTATATATTTATATTGCATTGTGAATATATCACAGTTTTTTTAAAAATCCATTCTAGTTTTGATGACCTTTGGGCTGCTGTGTTTTCTGTCATGCACACTGCTGCTCTGAACATTCTTGTGCATATCTCCTGGTACAGGTGTACAAGAGCTGCTCTAGGCGTGGAATTTCTGAGTCATGGTGTAGAAACATGTCTATGCTACCAAGATAATTCAAAATTGTTTTCCAAGGTGGATGTTCTCCTTTGGAAAGCTCCCATCATCACTGGCTGTTTTGATGCCCTATATCCTTGCCGGCAGTCTAATTTGTTCAACTTACTAATTTTTACCAGTCTGGTCGATGTAAAATGGCATTTTCTTGTAGTTTTGTTTACAGGATTGCCGGAGAGACTGAGAATATTTTCATATGTTTATTGGCCATTTGTCTTTCCTCTTCTTGAAGTGGCTATTCTGGGATAACTCTCTGGTGGGGAGTAAGGGCACAGACCTCAGAGCCTGGCCCTCAAGGACAGAAGTCCCAGCCTAGAGTTTAGCTTCTCAGGTATTTCGATGGCTGAGTAGAGGCCCTCCTGGCCACCTGCGTCCCACCTTATTCAGTGGCTCTCCCTCAAAACGACTGTCAGGTGGTCTTTATCTCAAGACCAGCTCCACACGGTCTAGTTAAGCAGCAAACACGTGTAGGAGCTCAGGATCCACGCACTTCACGACCCCGCAGTCTGGTAGAGAAAACCGTCAACCTTCCTGCCCCGCCGCCAGCGCCGTGCTGCAGGCTGCTCACACCAAAGATGCTGCTTAGGACTCTCCACTGGACACCCCCGTTATTACACAAGTTCCTTCTGTTATTAGTCTATCCTCATGTGTTATTACCACATGAGACCTTGGGTCAGCAAGTACTGAGCTAGGTGCTAGAGACAGAAACAGGAAAAGACCATCAGGCCCACCACTCAGCCCAGACAGCGGACTGGGCCCTCCGCCCGCAAGGAGCTCTGCACGGGTTTCCCTCCGGCCTCCGCGTAGGCCCCACCCCACACCTCCCAGACTGCTTCCCTCGCGATGAGGTGCAGGATTTGGTCCCCAGGTCTCAGCCTGTGGGGCGCGCATCATGTAACCGCGTCGGGCGGAAGGGGCGGAGCCGAATGGCCGTGACGCTGCGTGGTCGCCTAGCAACGTCCCAATTCGGAGCGATGGAGGCCAACAGCAGCAGGGAGCTCGAAGCCAGGAATTATTTGGAAAAACATCGGATTATGGAGTTGCTGACCTATCTCGCCAGCGCCCTCCTCTTTTTCCGGCCGGGTAAGTGTCTTGACTACCACTCGGCTTTCTGTCCCATACCGAGCAGTCCCCAGAAATTCCCGGTGTAGCCATCCCTTCCCGCCCGCGTCCCGGGGGGCCAGCTTCCTTCCCGGCTACCACTCCCAGCCCCTCCGCATACACTCTCCTGCCTCTCGGCTACTCGAGCCCTTCTGCTGCTAGTTAACGCTGTGGCCTTCAAATTAAGCAAGACTTATTGAACGGCCTCTTTGTGCCTGCCACTAGCTGAGTGTGGCGGGACTCTCGCCGGTGGAGGGCTCTCGCCGGTGGGAGAGAGGCTCCGAGGTCCGGTAGCCTGCCTCCTGGCTCCACCCCTTACTACTTTGTGATAGTGGGCAAGAGCCTGAACTTCGGTCTCCTCTTCTGGAAAATGGCGATTATAATAATACCGATCTCATGGCAACGTGGGGAAGATTAAACAAATAATGTATAAATCATCCTTATGCCTGGTAAGCAACAGATGTTTCCAGTGTTATCCCTGCCCTCAAAGAGTCTGTAAGCTGGTAAAAACAACTGATAGGGTAAAAGGAAGGATATTCTTGAGGAGATAGATTTTCCTGACATGTTTTCTATGTCTGATTCCCTTACAAAGTTTGGATCATTTCATAATTTTTGTGTGGTCTGTAAATGTAAAAGTTATGTTAAGGTGAAAGTGACTCGATGTGCTTCTCCCCAGGGTGCAGAATTGTAATTTACTAGTCTCATATGGAGTGTCCAAAATGCCCAAATTGTCCATTTGCCTCTGGGTAAGGAAATATAAAAACCAAATATTCCAATTTTGCCAAAAGCCACCCAACTAATATGATCCTATATAAGGCGATCAGGTTCTCTCTAGTTGTTTTAAAATGATAAACCAGCAAAAACTCTGCAACAATTAAAAATAAATAGAAAATCAAAAAAACAAAGTACAAAGGAATGCACTTTTTTAATGCACTGGGAAAAAGTTGCTATCAAACTAATTTTTAAAAACCTACTTTTTGAAAAAGTGACTAATTACCATCTCTTGCTGGTCTCTGGTACTGTGGTGGTGAAAATAGTCTTTTGCTGTTAGATGCAGACATATATGTAAATGTGTGTGTGTGTGTCAAAACTTCAGAAATAGCAGAAGTAAAGCCAATGAATCACCAAAGTAGTAATCAGTAAAGTTTATTTTGCACACACCAAAAAGATAGTTTGAAAGCCAGGAGCACTCAAACCAAAACATGGAATGAGGCTCAGGGGTATATTGTTAAAAAGCAGCTTATATGGTGAGAAGATAGTGACTGTTTATTCTTCACAGTAATTGGTTATAATATTATCGTCATCTTAAATGATAGGGAATTGGTTACTTCATATCAACCTTGGGAAACAGTTTAAATTTTGCTTATTTACAGAGGCAGAAGCAAGAAATGACCCAGGTCAAGTTAGTCTTGCAAAATAAGCTAAATTAAGCTTTGCTTGTGTAACTTAACTGGTTTTGTCTGCCCAGGGAATTTTTCAAGGCTGGTTTCCATTTGGTCTTGATTTTAACAATACCCCCCTGCCCCCTCCTGCTTTTGGTCATTCTCTCCGTGGGCGGAGAGTATGAGCAACCAGTATAGCATTATTCCTGGTTACCACTGTTGATGTAGTCAGGCTGAAGAATCGCATATACACTGTTTGCATTAGTTGAGTCCTTAGGCAGGAGAGCTGTGTAGTCACTATCTTAATTCTTTATATGGTTATTGTTGATTTTGTCCAGTTGTGTGATCCTGATGAATGCCATTTGGCATGCGAGTGGCTGGAGACAGGCATTTAAAACCCTCGAGAGTGTACAACACACTAGAAAGGTTAATATGATAACTATAAGGAAAATAATAACCAAGGATTGAAAAATGGTCCAGAGCAGAGATTCCCAGGACCCAAGATTTAACCAGAGATTCCCAGGACCCAGGATTTAACCAGCAGTTTTTAAGTTTTACCTTTCTAAGTGAACCGACAATTTTTTTGGATTAATGTGCCATTAGGTTTCAGTTTTTAAAGGTTATTTACATAGGCACAACCTGGTGTGTTAGCAATCACGTATCCTCATGATTCCTCAAGACAGAATGAAGGGAGGATGTTGTATTTTAGGAGACCGCGCTGCAGGTGAGCTTCCAACTAAATGAGGTGTCTGTGTGCTGTGAGCAATCAGGTAATTTAACAAGAGGCATTTCTAGGGAAACAAAAGAAAAACAAAGGCTAATAGTTTGAGCAAATTATAAATTCAGTTTCTGAGTTTGGAGAGCAGCCATTTGAGAAAATGTGTAGATTTGAGTTTGAAGCATCTCCAGATGGTGGAATGAGGATGGCAGTGACAATCTAATGGATTTTCCTGGCTTGCAGTTTGAATGTGTCTGGCGAGCTTCTGAGTGGCCATGTAAAAACAAGCATGCAGATTGCCCGCTCGTGAGCTGTTGTGATTTCTCTGAGGTTTATGTCAAGTTGTCCAGCTTTAATTTGTATGGCTTTGGGAAAAGGGCAGTTGAGTTTCATAGTGATTTGGAGTCAAAAGAGTGGGAGAAAATTGGAAATATTACTTTGGCGAGTTCTAGTCAAATACTGGAAGAAACTAGAAGAATTCAGGATCCAGTCCAGTTTACACGTAGAAAACAAAACCTCAAAGAGGGTTAACAGTACTAAAATCTGATATCTACAAACCTGTATTACTAAAACATAATTTTTCTTTCTATAATCATCCCGACTGTTACAAAGGATAACTGGTAGGAGAAATTTGTTTGCAAATTAAGTCTAGTTTCAATAAACTTGATCTGATTATTTGCGTAAGTGCATTAAGAACAGTGATTGTATCGACTGCTTTTTTTTCTATTTCAAATGCTTGAACCGCACATTTTTATTTCAGATTGAACCAGGAAATACATGAGTTTAGTTTTATTTTTTGAATTTTATTTTTATATACAGCAGGTTCTTATTAGTCATCAATTTTATACACATCAGTGTATACATGTCAATCCCAGTCGCCCAATTCATCACACCACCACCACCGCCACCCCGCCGCTTACCCCCCTTGGTGTCCATACGTTTTTTCTCTACCTCTGTGTCTCAATTCCTGCCCTGCTAACTGGTTCATCTGTACCATTTTTCTAGGTTCCACATATATGCGTTAATATACGATATTTGTTTTTCTCTTTCTGACTTACTTCACTCTGTATGACAGACTCTAGGTCCATCCACGTCTCAACAAATGACCCAATTTCGTTCCTTTTTATGGCTGAGGAATATTCCACTGTATATATGTACCACATCTTCTTTATCCATTCGTCTGTATCGATGGGCATTTAGGTTGCTTCCATGACCTAGCTATTGTAAATAGTGATGCAGTGGACACTGGGGTGCATGTGTCTTTCTGAATTATGGTTTTCTCTGGGTATATGCCCAGTAGTGGGATTGCTGGATCATATGGTAATTCTATTTTTATTTTTTTAAGGAACCTCCATAGTGGCTGTATCAATTTACATTCCCACCGACAGTGCAAGAGGGTTCCCTTTTCTCCACACTCTCTCCAGCATTTGTTGCTTGTAGATTTTCTGATGATGCCCATTTTAATTGGTGTGAGGTGATACCTCCTTGTACTTTTGATTTACATTTCTCTAATAATTAGTGATGTTGAGCAGCTTTTCATGTGCTTCTTGGCCATTTGTATGTCTTCTTTGGAGAAATCTCTATTTAGGTCTTCTGCCCATTTTTGGATTGGGTTGTTTGTTTTTTTAATATTGAGCTGCATGAGCTGTTTATATACTTTGGAGATTAATCCTTTGTCCATTGATTCGTTTGCAAATATTTTCTCCCATTCTGAGGGTTGTCTTTTTGTCTTGTTTATAGTTTCCTTTGCTGTACAAAAGCTTTTAAGTTTCATTAGGTCCCGTTTGTTTATTTTTGTTTTTATTTCCATTACGCTAGGAGGTGGGTCATGCAGGCTTCCCTGGTGGCACAGTGGTTGAGAGTCCGCCTGCCGATGCAGGGGACACGGGTTCGTGCCCCGGTCCGGGAAGATCCCACATGCCGCGGAGTGGCTGGGCCCGTGAGCCATGGCCACTGAACCTGCGCGTCCGGAGCCTGTGCTCCGCAACGGGAGAGGCCACAACAGTGAGAGGCCCGCGTACCACCAAAAAATTAAAAAAAAGATTTTGCTGTGATTTATGTCAAAGGGTGTTCTTCCTGTGTTTTCCTCTAAGAGTTTAATGGTGTCTGGCCTTACATTTAGGTCTTTAATCCATTTTGAGTTTATTTTTGTGTATGGTGTTAGGGAGTGTTCTAATTTCATTCTTTTACATGTAGCTGTCCAGTTTTCCCAGCACCACTTATTGAAGAGACTGTCGTTTCTCCATTGTATATCCTTGCTTCCTTTGTCATAGGTTAGTTGACCATAGGTGCATGGGTTTACCTCTGGGCTTTCTATCTTGTTCCACTGATCTATGTTTCTGTTTTTGTGCCAGTACCATATTGTCTTGATTACTGTAGCTTTGTAGTATAGTCTGAAGTCAGGGAGTCTGATTCCTCCAGCTCCATTGTTTTCCCTCAAGACTGCTTTGGCTATTCGGGGTCTTTTGTGTCTCCATACAAATTTTAAGATTGTTTTGCTCTAGTTCCGTAAAAAATGCCATTGGTAACTTGATAGGGATTGCATTGAATCTGTAGATTGCTTTGGGTAGTAGAGTCATTTTCACAATATTGATTCTTCCAATCCAAGAACGTGGTATATCTCTCCATCTGTTGGTATGATCTTTAATTTCTTTCATCAGTGTCTTATAGTTTTCTGCATACAGGTCTTTTGTCTCCCTAGGTAGGTTTATTCCTAGGTATTTTATTCTTTTTGTTGCAGTGGTAAATGGGAGTGTTTCCTTAATTTCTCTTTCAGATTTTTCATCATTAGTGTATAGGAATGCAAGAGAATTCTGTGCATTAATTTTGTATCCTGCAACTTTACCATATTCATTGATTAGTTCTAGTAGTTTCCTGGTGGC